TCTTTAAATATAAAAAACTTACTTACAGTCTGTGAGTCAGAACAGCCGGCATTGTAGTCTACTCTCCCAGGATCAGGAAACAGTCCTCCATAAAATGCGCAGCATACATTTGAATATTTGGGTTGAAGTATTCTGGAACAGTGTTGTCAATACAACTTAACCACTGATTTCTAGTTGTGTCCTCTTTTGGAAGACCAAACAAAGTATCCTTCACGAAATGGCTGCAGCGTCAACAATACTACAGTGAGAATAAAAGTTATGCCTTCTTTCTTTGCGTGAACATTTGGGCGGCGTTATGCAAATCTTCCCACATCGTGAGGTAGACATGTGGGGGCGTGTTAGAACGAGCCGTTTTAGGTAGGTGTGGCTGACTCTTAACTTTTATAAAGAATATCTCTTTAGATTTGAGACTTTAGTCTTTGCAACTTTACAGATCTTCTTTATGCACCAAGAGCTGATAACACTTCAAAGAGAAAGGAAAAATTGAAAACGCATCATATGACCTTTAACAACACACCTTCATTTCTCACTGGTGTGGAGTGTTGTGTAGTAGTAACTATATTCTAGTGTTCGTCCAACTTAATCTTTCTGTCTGGTACCAATCGCTGGCCAGCCAAGTGTTCATTTCACTTTGGAATATCTGAGGGAGTCAAGCAGACACTCCTGCGTACACTCAGATAAGCCAGCGACATTTTTCAGGCTTTACAGGAGCAATCAAAGTTGCTTACGAATCAGTTTCAGTTGGAAAAACAACTTTATTTCAACAGGCTTTTACTCAACCCGTGACGGCATAGTAGTATCAAACTCTTTCACCGCCTCAGGGGGAAAAAAAACCCGCGAGATGGCTGTGATTCTGTGTGTGCTTGCGCGGTTTTATTTCAGGTTTTACCTCTCCCTTGCTGGCGCAGTGCATCACGGCAGAAGGCCCCAGGATACGGTTGTCATTCTTGTACAGGAAGCTGTATTCGGGAGCCTGGAAGTCTATCAACACAAACACCGTCTCGAACTCGCAGTTCTCGCCGTCACCAAAATCTCTGACATTGTCAGTCTTGATATAGGGGGTGTTTATATCCTAATAGGGATGAAGAGGAAAATTCATAACTAAAAAAATGAAGATGACAATGAGAATATCAATAAACACATTAGCTGGATTGTGATTAGAATTTCTCTCCTTTCAGAGATCTCTCTTTTGGTAAAAGGGATCTCAGAGATGTTAAAGTGTTCTGACAGATGATACGCTGGAGAAAGACAGCAGTCATCTGTCAAATGTACAAACACAAGTGTCAGTTCAGGACGGTTCACACAGGACAGTTAGACGATACAGTATGAAACCAATCACATTGTATCCACCAATATAGGATATTTACTTGTACATGTTCATTTCTGCCTATTTTTATTTTCTTTGCCATTATCATGCACTCAATCTTTTTTTAATACTAAAAGTTCTGAAGCCAAACAAACTGAGTACATTTTACATATATTAAATATTTAAAATGTTATATGTTTGTAATTTATATTGAAAAGAAATTAATCCTTCTATTCAGTTAAGAACACATTAAATTGATCAAAAGAGACCGTAAAGACATTTATAAGGTTACAAAAGATTTCCCTTTAAAATAAATGCTCTTTTTTTTTTATTTTCTATTAAAAATAAAATAGAAAAAAATCTATTAGTTTTCCACAAAATTTTACAGCAAAGTTATTTTCAACATTAATGAGAAATGTTTCTTTAGCAGCAAATCAGCATCTCAGACTGATTTCTGAAGAATCATGTGACAAATTATAAATTATAGTAATACAACCCTCTATGGACACCTTGGCAATTGAATTGCCATTGGCTAGTACATTTTTTAGTTTACTCGCCAGACTATATAATAAATAATTACATAAAAAATTTGTAAAATGGCACTGTTTTTTAAATATCTGAAAGTACACTTTTAACATCAGTCAGTCAAGCATTATAATATGATAATCAAGTATTATTTAATGATAGAACTTTAGTAATTAGAATTAAAACTTGATAACCATGTATGAATGCATATTAGTCATTTTAACTGAACTTAGGACTGGTGGTGGTGCTTTTTTGGTCATTCAGTGTTTCTTTAAAAAAAATTGGGGAAAAAACTAACAAAAATACTGATGAGATAATAATGATACGAATTCTACTAATAAGAACAATATAAAACGCACCGAGGATTATGAGCTACTGGATTCATGAATATTAATCAGGTTGTGTGGCGTTCGCTCGAACTGATTTGGTGAAATCAAAACAGGGACGATAATAGGTGAGCGCCAGCCAATGAGATTGCCGTTTGCGCATTAGTTCCGCCCACTACCGGAGAAAGCGGTAGTTCTTAAAAGCTGAAGAATTCCAAAAGAACTCCGTTATTTT